TTGCATTAGAATTTTCATTCTCATAATAAACTTTTCTAACTGCAAAACATTTGTTTGATATCAAGGAAGCTCACATATAAGCAGCAATGAGGAGTTTATTCTTTTGAGGCTTGAAACTATGTTGAGTAATTGGCGGATCACGTCAAGAAAAATCGTATCCAGGGGCATGTCACCTAAAGACCTTGAACATGGACATGTTGCTTCTCCCAGTTAATGTTTTCCCAACTTGTTTACTCTTTTGGGGCAAAATTTTTTGAAGACTTTGTTGTGCCAACTACAGTCAATCCGGGGCAATCACGTCGAGATTTGATGAATCTCTCTAAGAGTTTGAAGACACCAGAGCATGGTGAATGCCAGGTCTATCGTAAAATCCTCTTGAGATTATTTCTCCTCATCAGCCATATGGCTTGGGGCATTTTAAGTGAAGTTATTCGCAAGAAATGTCGTACAACACGCAGCTTATCAGCAGTAAACTTGGGGCATCCAAAATTAATCCCAGGGGCAATCCAGATTTGTCAAGATATGTTTTTCATACATCATCAGAGGGTGGTGTTCCCAATATCTCCAGCTAAGCAAGACTTCTTTCCAGCTGAAACTTTGTTTGTGTTGTTATCCTTTCAATGGATTGTTTGCAATAGAAGACTAGACTTTAGGTTTTCTACCTGAAAATATCTTCCTCTCCCGAGATATTTAAGCCTTGTAAAAAGACTTTGCTCCAATGATGACTTTTGTTTTTATCTCCAGTAGTGTTCCCCTTTTGTTGAGATTAGCCGAGTGTTGGGTTGTGCTATGATGTCTTATCATCTCCAGTTTATCTTGTCTACTTGTTTTGTCAGCATATACATGACATTCATTTATTCATTCACACTTGCATCATGCATGCACAGTTGTATTTGTTGATGTCATTAAGTTCGTACACCCTGGTTATGTCTACTCAAATAACATATTTGATCTTTCCAAATAGAATGTCAACTTAAACATAAAGTGTGCCTTCTTTCTAATTCCCCACTGAGTTAACTCTCGTGGAAGAATCTCGCTTTAGCTTTCCTTTTCCATCTCTGGATAGGATAAATCCCCATTTGAGTTATTTCCTCATTGGGTGGAGTCTTGTTTGACTGTTTTCTCTCCAGTTTATTCCTGGATTGAACTGTGTCTCTTGTGAACGATACCCTGTGAATATCTCTAGGCTGTGAAACCTAGATGGAGAGTGCATTTATTTTGCAACGTAAATACTTGGTCTCCTCAAGGAGGATTTACTCATGGTTCCCCATTGAAGATGAACTTTATTCCCTAGTAGTGTTATCACAACCTTCTTCTGGAATATCGACATGACAACAAGCGACTGACTCCTTATTTAAGCAGTTTGATTATTTTTGATTTCTCTATGACAAATGGCGGTCTCTTCATGAGTAGTTTGTCCATCCCCGATGAAATTATTGGTTCTCACCTCCAGCAATATCTTCACGATATTTTATGGGTATCTTTTGGGAAACAGCAAGCGGCAGTCTCTTCATGAGGCAACTTGTGTGTTATGGATACTCTTGACAAACAGCAAGCGGCGGTCTCTTCATGAGCAACTTGTGTGTTATTTTTCCCTTTGAAAACATCAAGCGGTGGTCTCTTCATGAGCAACTTGTATGTTATTGATACCTTGGAAAAACATCAAGCGGCGGTCTCTTCATGAGCAACTTGTGTGTTACTGTCACCTTTCAAAACAGCAAGCGGCGGTCTCTTCATGAGCAACTTGTGTGTTATTGAAAAACATCAAGCGGCGGTCTCTTCATGAGCAACTTGTATGTTATTGACACCTTTGAAAACAGCAAGCGGCAGTTTCTTCATGAGACAACTTGTGTGTTATGGATACTCTTGACAAACAGCAAGCGGCAGTTTCTTCATGAGACAACTTGTGTGTTATGGATACTCTTGACAAACAGCAAGCGGCAGTTTCTTCATGAGACAACTTGTATGTTATGGATACTCTTGACAAACATCAAGCGGCGGTCTCTTCATGAGCAACTTGTATGTTATTGGTAATTTTGAAAAGAAACAGCAAGCGGCAGTCTCTTCATGGACAACTTGTATATTATCAACACTTCTAAAAACAACAAGCGACGGTCTCTTCATGAGCAACTTGTATTGTTATTGCTACATTTGAAAAAAAACAACAAGCGGCGGTCTCTTCACGAACAACTTGTATGTTATTAATATCTTCGAGAAAACAGCAAGCGGCGGTCTCTTCACGAGCAACTTGTGTGTTATTGTTATCTTTGAAAAACAGCAAGCGGCGGTCTCTTCACGAGCAACTTGTGTGTCATCGATACCTTTGAAAAACAGCAAGCAGCAGTCTCTTCATGGACAACTTGTATGTTATCAGCACTTTTTGAAAACGGCAAGTGGCAGCTTCTTCATGAGCAGCTTTTACGTTAGTATTTTTGGAAGACAGCAAGTGGCAGCTTATCTATTTGAGCAACTTGTGTGTTATTGTTCCCTTGAGAACGGCAAGTGGCAGCTTCTTTATGAGCAACTTGTGGGTTTTTTGGCAACAAGTGGCAGACTCTTCATGAGCAGCTTGCGTGCTTTAATATTCTTTGAAGACAGCAAGTGGCGGTCTCTTCATGAGCAGCTTGTATGTTATTAACACCTTTGAAAGGAAGCAAGTGTCGGCCTCTTTATTTGAGCAGCTTGTGTACCCCCAACAATAATGTCTACTCAGCAAATGGCATCCCTTTCGGAAAAGTCCCGTGGGGAAGTTTGTTTATTTTATCATTTTCAAGCGATATCTTGGTTAAAGAAGAAATGTGTTACTGTTCTTGGTAAAATTCAAAAATCAGAGATGTTTATCTCCAGCCACAGTGCTGATGTCAATCATTTTGTTTTCCAGCCACAGTGCTGATGTCAATCATTTTGTTTTCCAGCCACAGTACTGATGTCAATCATTTTGTTTTCCAGCCACAGTGCTGATGTCAATCATTTTGTTTTCCAGCCACAGTGCTGATGTCGATCATTTTCCAGTCTCAGTACTGATGTCCATCATTTCCTTTTCCAGTCACAGTGCTGATGTAAATCATCTCTTTTCCAGTCTCAACACTGATGTAAATCATTCAAGAGTCTCTCATTTGAAGTCTATGACTTTGTTTCCCCAGTGGAGTTATAACCTTTTCCCCAGTGGGATTACTGTATAATGTGCTTGGTTTCTCCAGCAGTAGTTTGCCTCATACGGAATCCTTCCTCATTAAATTCAAAATGTTCCATTCATATCAGATCATAAACATAATTGTGGTATCTTATGGCCAAAAATTATGTATTCTATATTTAAGTCCCTTCGATCTCGTCGAAATGAAGATTCCAATCTTCATATCTCCGGATAGAAGAAACTTAAATAGGGGCATCTGTCATACCCTAATTTTTGACCTAAGATCCCGCATTCCATCCGCATCATTGCATGGCAAGAGTTCACAAGCAATTCGACCTATTTTTGCCAATTCCCGAGTCAGATTTCAAAAATTCGTAACTTCTTCAAATTTCAATATTTTGAGGGGTTATTTTTTTGCATATGATTTTTCTTGACACCATCTACAATTTTTCTTTACAAGACAAGAGATGATTATGCATTGAAAAGCCACGAAAAAGTTATTAACGTTCGAAGTTGTTTCACGAATTTAATGGAATTTGATTCTTAATTTTGGACTATGTTTTATCCGACCATAAATTTTACACTTTCTCTTCTTTTATTTTTTAATTCCATGAAAAAAAATCCTTAAAAAAAAAATATATTTAGTTCATGTCATCTTAATTTTATTTACATTATTATTCAAAATATCAAAAAAAGTAGTCTCTTCAAGTTTCATTTAGATTTTTATTCTTAAGTCAAAATTATAGTCTTCTAGATTTAATTTAGTCAAAATCTCAAAAAAAAAACATGTCTTAGCATTATTTTATTTTAGCATTTCACTTTAATCACAAAAATATATAGTTAATATCTTTTCCTTTTAATTCTTTTAGTTATTATAATTTTCATTTTTTTTCTTTCAATATTAATCTCGATTTGGTTCTAATTTTAATTCAACTTTTTAGTTGAGTTATTATTAAAATTAAAATTAATTTTAATTTCTCTTTAATTTTCATGTTTTGGAATTTTTTAGTTTAATATTTTTTGTTATTATTATTGTTGTTATTATTATGCTATTCCTCTCCTTGTAAAAAATGTCCAAACAAATACCAAGTCTAAACCTTGCTTCAATTTTCATCCAAACCTGTCCACCAAAACAACAAATATATGAAAACAAAATCAGTCCAATATTTTGAAAGAAAAGTGAGGGAAAATACATGTATGGTTATATGGAAAAAATCAGAAAAAATGCAAAGTAGAAAAGGGACCTTTCATGATAATTTTACTGCTACACATCAGTCCAAAAATAATGCCCAAAACTGTAGTTTGCTTGCTGTCCAGAATAAACTGCTCCAAACATTACCCAGAATGGTTAAATTTTTCCTGCATCAAGAAAGCATAAGGCAATTGACATAAACTAGAATTCAACTGATATTTGGCTCCAATTTTCCCTCTAATTCTATGATATATTCACTATAAAAACAGAAACAAAAAAACAAACACAGTAACATCAATCCGCCTCCTCCCTCTCTCCAACTTCCCATGCTCTACGCCCCTGTTCATCCGTAAACCTACAACCTTTAGCTACCTCACCGAGCACTCCATTACCGTAAGCCACCTACTTCCACCTCCCACCCTGTTTTGCTCATCAAACAACCACCTCCCTCTATCATTATCCGCCATCACCAATCGACAACAGCTAACAACTCCGTCCAATCATCCTTCCCCTCAATGCCACACCACCCACCGCCTCTTCTTCTTCTCAGGTGTTGAAATGAATACTGTGATGAATAATAGAACGGTTCACAATGATGACAAACCTTTCAATCATTACAACACAAAAACCCTTATCGTACTATTGTGCATTTTTGAGTCAACCGTAAAACCACCAATGCCCACCACCGCGGCGACTAGGCAACTCCTATCGTAAACACCCAACCGCGCAACTCGACCCACATCTACCCACCCGATACAACTCCCTTCTTCTCTCCATTTCCGTTAAAACCCTTTCATCTCTCCTTCCGTCTTTTCTTCTACAACACAGAGCAATAACAACCTACCTTCGTTCAACACTTCAATTTTCCGTCCGGATCTTCCACACCGATTTCCATCGCATATTCCCACTGTACAGATCAACACCAATTGGTTCAATCTCCGCCGAAAAAGTCCAAGACAGTTACAAACAATACTGGTCTTTCTTCCGCCGTCCCAAAGAGATCGAAACCGCAGAGAAAGTCCCAGATTTCGTTGATACCTTTTACAATTTAGTTACAGATATTTACGAATGGGGCTGGGGATAATCCTTCCATTTCTCACCTTCCATCCGTGGTGGAGCCGTTTGAAAATGGGCCGGCTTGCTTATTGGCGTAACCATGTTGTGGTAACTGTTCTGTCTGCATTGGGAATAGTGCCTAAAGGGACCGTTGATGTTCATAAGATGTTGTTCAAGACTGCTGACTTTTTGACCAGAGGGGGTGATATTGGAATTTTCTCTCCTATGCACATGATTCTCTGCAGAAAACCTAAAGAACAAGAGAAATAAATTTGTGCTGTCATGGTGATGAAGGTATCATAAACTAAAATGAATTTGTTTTAATAATTTTTATTATATTTTAAGTTTAACTTACTGTTTCTCTGAACTGGATGTAATTTGTTTTTTTTTCCTTCTTTTCTTTTCATTTTTGCAACGTAGTTTTGTTTAATTTTCTTACCTTTTGGATTTTATTTTAGTCTTCAGTACTGTTAGTGCATTTCATTTAATGGAATTTAATTAGTTATAAAAAATAATAAAAAATATATTAGTAAATCTTATAATTAATTTAGTTTAATATTAATTTAGAATTCTTTAATTAGTTTAGGTTTATTTTATAACTTTAGAATTTTATTTTATTTAAGTTAACCTTAGCATTTTATTTGTTTAGTTTTAGTTTAATAACTTTAGAATTTTATTTGATTTTATTTAAGTTAACTTTAGAATTTTATTTGTTTAGTTTTAGTTTAGTAACTTTAGAATTTTATTTGATTTAGAATTAGTTTAATAAATTTATAATTTTTATTTGATTTAGAATTAGTTTAATAAGTTTATAATTTTTATTTAGTTTAATAACCTTAGAGTTTTTATTTGATTTAAATTTAGTTTAGTAGTTTTAGAATTTTATTTGATTTAGATTTAGTTTAGTAACTTTGAAATTTTCATTTGTTTTAGATTTAATTTAGTAACCTTAGGATTTTAGTTTAATCTAGATTTAACTTACTAAATTTTAAAGCTTTAGTTTAGTTTAGATCAAATTCAATAATACTAGATTTTTTTATAACCTTAGAATTCGTAATTAGTTTAGAATTATTTTAGTAAGTAATTTTTAATTTAGTTTAAATAACTTCTTTAGATAACTAGTTACATTCTCTTTTATTTTATTTAAATATCTTTGTCATTTTAATTTCTCGATGCCTTTAGGTCATTAATCTGTTTAGTTATATTTATTTTCTTGTGAATTTTGATTGCTTATATTTTGACGTCTATTTTATTTTTGCTTGCTCGATTTACTCCAAGGGAAAGAATTAAATTTGTTGACTTCATGTCATCGAACATATCTCATACGATTGCGCGAACCCCCTCATTCATTTTTTCCTATTTATTGTTTTTTTTCAAAATTAAGTCGATTTTCCTAAAAGATTCAAATTTCAAACTCACACCTTTTAAGTCTAAACTTCGACACTAGGTCGCTGTCTCTTCAAAATCTCTCCATACCCATCTTTTAGCCAAACGAATCATTTTAATCAAACAAACAATTTTAAACCAAAAGAACAGATATTTCAAAAGGTTCCTGCGGAGTACCGCAGATGCATTGGGTGCTAATACCTTCCCATTGTATAACCAACCCCCGAACTCTCGATCTCTTTCAAAAAGCGCATTGTATTTTTATTACTTTTAAGTATTATTTTACATTGCATATTTTAGGGTTTTATTTCGCTCTTTTCCCTTTTCCCTTGGAAATAATAAAGCGCGGTGGCGACTCTTGCTTTTGCGAGTCAAGTTAATTAATAGCTTGATCTCCGATTTTCACCGCTACAGAATTGGCGACTCTGCTGGGGAAAGATTGACCTCTTGCTGGTCCATCCCTAAGTGGGTTAAGCCTAATTTGTTTTATCTGTTTTATCATTATTTGATTGTTTGATTATATGTATATATTGTGATTATTTGGGTGTTGATAATATTTACAAAGGACAAGTCCTATACCCGGACTAAGTTACACTTAGGAATAGGACGGGCGGTATAGTCATGTTAACTTTGAGGGAGTAATCCCGAAGAAGGAGGCATGAGATCCCCCACTCAGTGGAAGGCCCTTTTGAACGTAATATTTGTTTACCGAGTAATTGAAAAGACATTATTATTTTCGACCTGGGAGCCAGAGAAGCTGGGAACCGTATAACCCTAACCCATCTTGGCCTTTTAGGTGTAGCGCGGAGATTATAACGGAGTAATCCGGAAGTAATTGTTACGCGATGCTACGCTCGGATGAGTCTCTCTTGAGAATATTACCGATTATTGAGTAATCAAGACGTTGGTAATATCCGAAGGAGGGATGTAGACTCCGGGAACTCTTAGAACCTTGTTCTACAGGTGTGATTAAACCGTTAGTACATACCTTAGGGGGGTGTTCCTTACCTTGACTCCATGCTCGTGACGTTGAACCTTTCGATTTTATTTGTGACCTTGCTTGTGGTTGTTGCATAGCCATGCATTCATGCATCCATAAAACCCTTTTCACTTGACTTTGAAGGAATTTGGAGGTCTTTCTTTGTAAACATCACGAGTTTCATCAAGCTCAATGGATCTTGGGTGTTGATAGGGCGAAAACCCTAATCCACCAAAATGGATGATTGATCTTGATGATAACGTGATCAATGTTTGGAGCCAATTTAAAATTCATCTTCTATCTTCATACTTTGATGTTTACAACTTAATATCTTGAGCTCTTTGAAAATCAAATAAAAACTCTCTTTTGCATATCATACATCATTCTACATTTTTTGTTTCACTTTCAAAGGTCTTTTTCCAAGTCTTACTTTTCCTTCGGTCTCACCAGTATAACACTCGCGCTAAGAGAACAATGGAGAATATCAAGCAAGAGGTTTCTGAACTCCGTAGAGAGATGACTAATTTGAAAGCTAGTGTGGAGCGCTTAACTGGCTTGATTGAAATTCTGGTTGCCGCCCAAGTCAATCCTTTAGGAAGAAGAAGTGATGGAAAAGGTTTTCACTGAAACTCTAAAATCATTCTCTCATGAGAAGGTGATGGTTAATGCACCTAATGACTTTCCTGACAAGGTGAATGTGGGAGTGCGTCTAGAAGAAGATGTTGGGAAGGGATGTTCATATGGAGTTGGTAGCTCAACTAGTGGTGTGAAGAAGTTTGATAATAAATTTTCCAAGAAGAGAACCATAGGAAGAAATAATCATCGTCAGAATCATCATGTTTCTCCTATTCATCAACAGAATCAGCAAGTTCCTAATCAGAGGAAAACCCAGTTTGATCCAATTCCAATTACCTATACAGAGTTGTTCCCTATCCTGATGCAGAGGAATTTGGTTCAGACCCGACCTCCACTGAAGGTTCCTGAGGAGATACATTGGTACTACAAAGCTGATTTGGCTTGTACTTTTCATCAAGGTGCTCCTGGGCATGACTTGGAGGGTTGCTTTGCTTTGAAGATTGAGGTTCAGAAGTTGGTCAGAAGTGGTACCTTCTCATTCAAGAACGTTGGTTTTGAAGTTCAAATCAAGCATGTGCCGAAGAGTAAACACGATTGATGGTCACAGATGGAAAGCCTTCCCCGATCATTAACTTATTTCTGCTTTTTGTAATTTTTCTTGTTTATCAAAACATTGTTTGCATGTAAGAGCTTGTTTGCATCTGAATGATTATCTTAATACAATGAAGATGTTTGTCTTGAAGAAATTCATTCGTTTCACTCATATTTGTTTTCAAATTTTAAATTGCTTTTGCACTATGATACCAAATTGTTGCTCATTCTCTTGCCTAGGCAGAGATTGAGGGGAGGATGATGATCTAAAGAACACAAAATCTCTGTTTGTTTGCTTTTGGATAAAATCTTGCTGATGATGTACAGGCATTGTTTCAAATCCCTAAACACTGGAGATATAAGGAAGATAATCCCTTGCTAACCCCTTTTGAGCCTTGAAGTAGAAGTTTCTTTTCTATACAAAAAACCTTGAATTTTAACCTGGGGCAGGGTAGTTTTTAGTTAATCTGACTGAGTGTTCAAAATTCATAAGGAAGATGTTTTTTTGAAGAGAAACTACGAGGGCTATCCTTCATGTATAATGAATCTAGAGGATGTGGAACCACAATGTTATCCCTCATTCATCAAGAAACGAGGCAATCACAATCCTCTCAACAAGCAAAGACAAGATAATGTCACACATCTTGTTCAAAAAGTCAAAAATCGAGAAAAAAGAAAAAAGCCTGCTAAGTCAAAAAAAAAACATGAAAACGTGTGACTTAGGCAAAATTAAGGCATCCCGCTGGACTATCAATTCAAAAGAATTAGTTCAGGCAAAAGTTAGGGAAAATAAAATTGCAAAGAAAGGACTACAAAGAAAAGTCCTCAGCAAAGAACAAATTGGTGACTACAAACACGAAGACATAAGGGGGGTTTCTCTTCCGAAAGCCTCGTCGTTTCCTTGACCGTCACAAAATCCTCTTGAAAGATGAACACTCATGTTGAATTAACTGAACATAGGATTGGAGAACATCATGAAGGGGGTGGGCACCAAATATCTTGAGCCTTAAATCCTTTTTTTTCTAAAACCATGAACCAGACCACATTACAACCTTCAAAAGTCCTAATTGAAGCAAGGTTATTTTGAAAGCATACTTCAATGAGATAGTGTTCCTGACTCCCATGAATGTTCTAAATAGTTATGTTGGTATCATATGTTTTTCCTATACAAAAATAAATGATGCTCTAACTCGCAAAATTTGTGCGATATCTTTTCAAAATCTTCAAGACTTACATAACTGTTGCATTAGAATTTTCATTCTCATAATAAACTTTTCTAACTGCAAAACATTTGTTTGATATCAAGGAAGCTCACATATAAGCAGCAATGAGGAGTTTATTCTTTTGAGGCTTGAAACTATGTTGAGTAATTGGCGGATCACGTCAAGAAAAATCGTATCCAGGGGCATGTCACCTAAAGACCTTGAACATGGACATGTTGCTTCTCCCAGTTAATGTTTTCCCAACTTGTTTACTCTTTTGGGGCAAAATTTTTTGAAGACTTTGTTGTGCCAACTACAGTCAATCCGGGGCAATCACGTCGAGATTTGATGAATCTCTCTAAGAGTTTGAAGACACCAGAGCATGGTGAATGCCAGGTCTATCGTAAAATCCTCTTGAGATTATTTCTCCTCATCAGCCATATGGCTTGGGGCATTTTAAGTGAAGTTATTCGCAAGAAATGTCGTACAACACGCAGCTTATCAGCAGTAAACTTGGGGCATCCAAAATTAATCCC